AGGCTGGACAAGCACATCGTACGCTGCTGGTGAAGGGCATCTGGGATTGGTGCTGGAGAGGGGACACCCCTCTGCGTCCCCTGGCACGGCGGTGATGTCCCCAGGGGGGCGGCTGCAGGAGGGGGCAAAGCCACGCCACGCTGGGCATCCACATGGGATGTGCACCTGGGCTGATCCCCACCATGTCACCATCCCCTGAGCCACACCACATCCTGAGACAAATTGCTGGTGGCCACCAAAACCAGGCAGGGATGGCAGTGGGGCTAAGCTATGGGGTCTGTGGGGAGATGGGAAGGGCTGGGACACCCCAGGCCAAGGGCTGCCAGGGGATGCTGGGGGCTTTGGGTTGGGTTTCCCACCAGCCAAGGGATTGATGTGCCCTTTTGACTCCCACACTGGCCCTTTGCATCCCTCAGGTCTCATCTGGAGTTTCCACCAAAATAAGTATTTCCCCTTGAGGTTTTCACTAGCTGAAGCTCTTGGTTTGGCTGGAGCCCCTGGCAGCAGGTTCCCTGGCCAGACCACAATCCAGTGAGTCACTGGGGAGGAAAAGCTCCCCAACCTTTCCCAAACTGCCCTTTTCCCCCACTAGGAATAAACCCAAACTGTTGTGGCCAATTCACTTATTTTCTTGCATGACGTCTCCTCATTGGTTCCTATTTTAACTGAAAGGGTTGCACATCCCAAAAGGGAAAATATACAAACTCTTCAATCAATTAAGGACTTTCCCAGGGTTAAGGCATGAGCCAGCGCCAGCGTGCCAGATCCTCCTGCTTTCCTGCCTCTTCAGCTCCTCCAGCACTGGATCATCACTCACCAGCTCCTTTCAGCCACCTCCTCCCATGGCCTCATTCTATATTTTTTAAATATCATCACTGTTACATGGGAGGAGGATTTTTTCTTTCAAGCAGGCAGGGCTGCAGAGCTCAGACAGAGCCAGCCACAGGAAGTGCAGCAAAACAGCCAGGCTCTTGCTGCAGAGGAGCACAGAATTAAAGAGAAACACAGGCTTTGGGCAATTTCTGCTCCATCCCCATCAAAACCATCCCTGTCCCCTCTCGCACCTTCTCCTAGCTGCTGCACCACCCATGCCCTGGTGGCGAGCACCAGGCTTTGCCCTGTCCATGACCTGCCCTGCTTCACACCGCAACAACTCCCTCCTAAATGGGCTCATAATGCTAATTTCTACAGGTTTTTAAATCCAGTGTTTTGCTCTAGCAGGGAACAGACAGGCTCTCCACAGCTTGCGGGCAGCCCTCTCCAGAGGAGGGCACGCCAAAGATAAATCCTTTCCTCTGCAAAGCAGATTCTTCCCCGATGATGGTTTTCCAGAGGAGCCAGTGACCCAGGCAGACGGCGTGGGGCTGCGCAGCCTCGTGAGGAGTGGGGCTCTGCAGGGATGTGTTAACACCAGGATTTCTGCTGGCAGATCATTTCCACACACACCCCAGCCCCCAATCCTGGGCTTTCTTACCAAATTTGTCTTCCTGGGAAACATTCAGATTTGATTTTTATCGACTGTAGGGATATATTTTAATGCTGATTTGATGCTCTGGGCAATGTGACCCAGCAGTGACCTCCCAGTTGGAGCAGGATGCCAGCCCCCTGCCCACCTCCAGCTGCAGTGCCACCTCTCCTGCAGCCCCCCCCTTGGCTCTGTGGAAACCCTGCAGAGTCACCACTATGTGGGGTCTGCAGTCTGGCTCCAGCCATCAGCCACCTGGGAAGCTGCTGGGCACACAAGGTTTGCTAGCTCCCTGCCACCAGCTCATCTTTTAGCCCCATGCCTCAGTTTCTCCTCAGTATATAAAGGGTGGCCACAGAAGAAGGGGCTCTCTTCTTGTGCTCACCCTTTCCAGAGTCCCAGGTGGTGATGGTGAGGCACAGTGGAAGGACACAGAAGGTTAAGCCCAAAGTTGTCAGTAGGATGATTTGGACCGTGATTTCTTTTTTAGGAAGAAAACTCCCTCCAGGGCCGGCTCCTCCATTTTCTCAGGCGAGGAGGTGGGAGTTGTGACCTTCAGCCAGCATGACTCTCCCTCCCATGCCTAGGGAGGCTGTATGCCCCTCGGGATGGGGTGCTGGTGCCCTGCACAGGTCAGGAGCACAGACCCTTACAGAAACAAGCCTAATGAGATGGGATGGTGCCCAAAGCATCACCCAGTCCTGCAGCCCTTCCATTGCCAGGGTCCCCACTCATGCCTTTGCCACTCTTTTTGGAGAGACTCTGGGTAGAGGACGCAAGGATGCTTATAGAGCTTTCCCTTTGGACCGTGGAGCAGAGGTTCAGGTCAGTGAGCACACAGCCCACCTCCAGACCCCAGCACGCTCGCAGGGGCCTCGAAGCGGGACCAGCCAGGGGGACACTGGGTGCGGGCGGCCCCTTACCAGAATCCGACAGAGCCGGGCTCACCAAGCTCAGCAGCTCCCGCTCCTTCTCGTAGTCGCCCTTGCAGAGGAGCTGCCCTTCCTTCAGCACGAACTCGTCGCCCTTCTGCAGGCGCCGCTCACAGACGCAGCAGCAGAAGCAGCGCAGGTGGTAAATCACCAGCTCGCTGGGCGCGATGGCCTCCAGGCACCCGCCGCACTTCACCGCAAACAGCCTGCGGGAGCAAGAGCAGATCCCGCTGGGGTGCCCCGCAGCACCGCGGCCGCACCCGGCGGGGGGCATCCCACTGGGGACGAGGGTCAGGGGACAGGGGACTTGCGCCCGCGGCAAGGGGACGGGGCGTCAGCACAGCATGACTGTGTCACCCCCTTGGTGCTCTGACTGCATCGCGGCGCTGGGCACAACGGTACTGGCAGCCTGCAGTGACGTGGGATGTGCTGCCAGCTTGTCCTGTGCCAACGGGGGGATGCTGCTTTTGGGTCAGCTTTGGCATTTTTGGTTGACCTGTTACTAAAGGCTTACCGTGAATGCAAAGGATGAACACATCAATGTCCAGGTAAAAAGCAAACAGGCATCAGGCCCAACAGTCCAGCTACCACTACCATAAGACATGGGACACACCACATTTACATGAGTTTTATCAAGCCAGCCCTGCATGCCCACCTGCCTGCAGGTCACATCTGGACATAAGGAGATGCTGGAAATGGCAATGGGGCCAGCAAGCTCATCCATGCCTCTCAACACGCATCTGCAGAAAGCACCTGTGCTGCTGTTGGTCACCCAGAAACCACTCTCTTTGGCCTGGGTCACTAGAACACCCCCGTTCCTGATTGCCAAACACACCTGGAATGTTCAACACATTATAATAATTTCCATGGCAGTAATTTGACATTAAGGCTCCTGATAGACTGAAGACTTGATGTGTCAAAAGGAAAAGAAAGAGCTCATCTTGTTCCTTGACATTGATGTGACAGTATTTGAAGCATTCCTAACTGTATAGTTCCCAGGTTTCAGCACGCTGGGTTTATTCTTAAAAGCCATTCATAATAACGACAGCAATAACACTTTAGGTTGAAACAGAGCCTTTCTTTCTCTGACTTTAAATGTCCTTACTGAGAAGCTCAGTAGTACAATCAATGATGCAGCTGGAGAAACCGAGGCAAGCAGAGTGGAAGTGGCGCCATCAGTGTTGGCTTGAGAAGACCTGGAGGCACCTGGAGCTTAGCCTTGGGCTGGATGTTTTAAGTGAATTGTGTGTTTATCCCAAAACAGATGTGTGAAGGTACCAAACCAGGACCTCTTCACTACCCCCATATATCTGTTTTTGGCATGGGCTCCATAAAGAAAAAAAGAAATCTCTGTTTACGCATCCTCGTCCTAAATATCTGTGGGAACTGGACATTATTACTCCCCTGTCTTGATGTCTTTGGCCCAGAAAGAGAAGTCAGAAGTCAGCACACATCCTGCAGAGGTTATCTCCGAGCATCACCCGTGTCCCAGTGTGGGGATGCCCCAGGGACCCACATGGGGAGTGCTGCATCCAGCTCTCCTCTGGCTCCAGATAGCTCCCACCTCCATGGTCCCCATTGCCGGGGAGACCTGTGGAGCTGGGTGGCTGTAGGGCTGGGGCTGGCTGGGGAAGGGAAGGGCAGCCCTGCAGCCACCAGCAGGCTTTCAACCCTTTTTCTTTTTTTTTTTTTTTGGCTGTTACAAAAAAGAAATAGAAAAGGAAATGAGAAGTGCTGAGTCTGCCTCATTCCAACAAGGAGAGGACCAGATGTATGCAAAACCCTTACAGCAAAACCATCAGAAAATAAGGATTATTTTTAAAAGTTTTTGTGATGAGCTCAACAGCCTGTAACGCAAGAAGGGGGGCAGAGCAAGGCATGTGTGGGTCTTTGTGCCCCAGAGGTAGCTCCCATGGTGAAGGCACTCATCACACCAGAGATGCTCCCCAGCAGCAAAGGGGCATGCGCCTTGCTGCAGCCCACGTGCAGGCTCTGCTCCTGAGAGATCCCAGCCAGGCTTCATTTCACCTTTCATTTCACTGCTTTAGTTGCCCAATAGCTGATCAATAACCTGCGGAAACCGGCGGGGCACAGGCAGACTCTGCTGCCCAGGCAGCAAGCCCAAGTCAGCGGGCAGCAGCTGGTTGCACCTGTGCCCATCTCACCAGAGAACAGTGGAACCAGTGAGCCCAGGCCAGGCAGCACGTCCCACCGGTGTGTGGAGGACAGGGATGTGCAGGAGCAGAGGATACTCCCTGCTCCTCAACAGGCAGGATCAGACGTAGAGCATCACCTCCTGGTGTCCTGCGCTGCAGCAAGATCTGGAGTCAACAGTTGCCCACCAGATGTGCACATGGGTGGCAGGGTGCCCTAGCAACGAAGCCCACCAGCCCCGGTGTCGAGGTCTTGAGGGTTTGGGAAATAGGACTCTCAAATGTAGCCCTCTTTATTGTCATCGGTTCCCCCCCCCCGCCCTGGGGTCCTTTCATGGACACTTCATGCCACCACATGGGCTTTGCCCACTCCCTCCCAGGTTTTCCCAAAACGGTGGTGGTGAGCATGGGATGGGGTGCATCACTCTCCCTGTGCCTGCCAAATCCTGCGCCCGCTCAGCAAATTGTAGCATCTCCCAAGATGCAGGAAAGGGGTGTTACAAAGCTTTTATAGAACACTATTATTGATACAGAAAGCAGAAAATCATCAAATAAAAGGTGGAGTTTAGGGAGTTTATAATTCCAAATAATACCATTAGTAGCTTTAATTTTTGTATATTTTTATTTTCCAGATACACATACAACTGTCTCTAAAATGTATCTATTTCTAACATCCCTGTGGGTGTCCTGGGAGGAGACCGATGTATATTCCCTGCAAAATGTCTCTTTTGAAGGATCATTTTTTCTTGTTCCAGCTCTGAGAAATGCAGGCTTGTGTTAATATTTCTGTAGTCATTTTGTCTTTAATTATGTCTCTTTTATGTCAAAGTGGAGGCGATTTGTATTCATCTGGTAACACATTCTCATCCCGTTTAAATGATGTTTAAACCCTACCTGTTTGGATTACTAACTGCTCTCTGTAATAAAATACTGATAAGCTAGTACCTTACTGTTATCTAACCTTCACAAATGAACGTGCCCAAAATCTCTATTTCCAGGGCACTGATTAGAGAGGCATAAACGTTTGCCAGTGAGGCACAGTAGCACCAACTGAGCAATGGGTGATCCTCAGCCCAAAGCGTGTTGCAAGAGAGGAAAGTGTGAGATTTAGGTAAATGGCTGCCTAATATTAGACACTTTAAGCTGTACTTAGGTTGATGAATAAACTACTTCATTTCCAAGCTGCTGAGCCCTCAAAAGCTCCTGCTGAGGGATGTGAGCAGGCGTCTTTCCCTGCCCAATGCAGGACTCCCCCATCCCTGGGCAGTGTGAGATGCAGCGAAATCCCCATAAAACCGTGAAGAGCTCCTTCTAAACCTACAATAAACCCAGATCTTAGGCACTAAAAGGTCACAGGCATAAAAACTGCAGCCTACTGCAGGTAATAATGAGGAGAGAGCAAATGGCATTGCTGGTGTCCCTACAGCCATGGACCAGCCCTGGACAGTACCAGCTCCTAACTTTGGAGAAAGAGGGTGCACAGATAACCCCTAGCACAGATAACCCCCTGCATGAATAACCCCCCACATGGATAACCCCACACAGGATAACCCCACACATTTAAATTTAGGTGTGAATGACCCCTGCATGGGCAACTCAGCTGAAACACCCCTGGTCGGACTGAGATGGGGCTGAAGGAAAATTTTCTTCCAGCATCAGATCTAGCAATTAATTTAACAATTTTGCCTGGGCAAGACACATCAGCCTGGATCAAGACATGCTTCCCTCCACTTCCGTGATCTTCAGCTCTTTGCCCAGCTCCCTCCTGCTGCAAGCAGCAGGCTGCAGAGCAAATGCCATCTTTTCTCCCCTCTCCACCTCTTTGTCCCTCACTGCTGCTCCAAAGGGGACTTTGAGATTACATTTGTTTACAGGAGGCTGCACAGAGGAGAAGCAGGATGGCCTCTGCCCAGGGTTTCAGTAGGTTTTAAACCAAGAACAAAACACCAACTCCTAAACTGCAACAGGAGTACCTTCATTTCTGCCTGATACTGGGGGCTTTAATCCTCAGCAGGTTGGTTTTTTTCCCCTCCTCAAAGCCTGGGGTTCAAAAGCTAAATCAGGCCTGTTTGGCAACCTTTGTGTTTGTTTACCCACATACAGAGCTGGCACAGGGCAGGGCACTGGACAGGGTGACCCACTGAGCACTCTGGTGCTCGGTGGAAACCCAGCCTGTCATGGGTGGCTCAATAAAAACCTCATCAAAGCACTGACAGTGTGTATCTATAAATAAAACCAAACCCACTCAACTTAGGAAGAACTGGAACAAAATTTTTGTCACCACACACTGCCTTTTGTTTCTGATCACATAAAAAATGTTCCTGTATTGATTAGTCTGCCATTTTTATTTATTTTTTTTTTTTTTTAAATTTAGGTCCCTGTTTAAATGATAAAGTGCCGTTTTGAAACAGAAGGGTGGTGGTGCCTTCCAAGAAAAATCTTGAAACAGAATATTTTGCCAGTCCTAAAAGTGCAGCATTTCTGCTGGAAGACCCTCAGGCGAGCTCCCTGTGCTCAACAGCCACCCCCCCCTTCCCCTGGGACATGGTCCCACTTCTCCGTGTCATTCCTCTCCCTCGAGAAGGCCACCGCAGACCTTTGCTTTGGGGTTTCCCATGCGTGCAGCATCTCTGACACCAAGAAGTTTGGCCGCGCGGCCGAAACCCCCTCTGGGGCGCGCACCCCGTCCCGGGTGAGCGGCGCGGGCA